ACAAAGTTTGAGAAATAATCACTATAAAATATGTCTGACAAAGTTTGAGATCAGATAATCCAAAATTGTTGATGTCAAAGTTTGGATGATCTTCAATTTAATTGTCAAACCTGTTGGATTCGTTGGAAATTTCAGAAATTTGTATGTCCGTCACGAACCATCGTTACAAATAAAAAAGCCGAAAATTTTATTCGCGTTCGGGTTCTCTGTGGAGTTCCGAATATCCAAAGCCAAAATAGGTCGACAGTGCATCTTATTTACATGTTATATGGCTGGGGTTTTCACCTTTTATCAAATGAAGAACTTTCAGTCGTAGTATTAGTAGACCGATGTTCGATTTCGGGTTAGAAAACTTGCCTGTGCGTTACAGTATACGCTAATACGGACATGTTTAACATACAATAAATCAGGATTCACATGTATTTTATGCTATCTATCACAGTCGTTATCAAGACGCGATGTAGCCCATTTCGACGTTGATAAAATAACGTAAACATTTGTGACTGATAGTTGCATATTTGCATGATATGATAAATACATATATCAGCATTTTTATTCTTTATCACTTTTACCAGGGTTAAAGACTGACTGGATAGGTCAACTTCGTGTCGATCAGTGAAAAGACACAGATCTGTGTCTGCGCCATATGGAGAAAATAGTGCATAGGTCTGTTACGTTAGTATTATCTAAGTATAAAAAGTTTTACTCAGACTGGAACTTACGACAAGCATTATTTTAAATTAATTTAACTAATATATTTCGCGTTTTAAACCGTTCAAATGTTTTATTTAAAGCATTGCAATTGCAAAGTATGCTTAGCAAAGAGTTTCACCAGTACGCTACTTAAGCAGGAAGAAAGGAGAATATGTTACTTTCTTAGTTTCATAAATTTAAATGCGTTAATTTTCAATTTCGAGTTTCAATCTTCTTTTGAACTCGAGAACATTAGATTAAACGTGTTTAATCTTTTTTGAAAATATCCATCTCTAAAACATATGAAAAACTCATTTAAATAATGACGCATTTCCAATTTGAAACGTACAACGCGTGACCCGGTTATAAAAAACTGCGTACTAATTGAAATAACTCTCGGTTTCTCTCCCACGGGCGAGTCTGTCATCCTCCACTGGTCACCCCCTGGAGTAAGTACACATGAAAACAACCGACGAGGTACAATTACCCACTTTCCGGTGGCCAGTTTCCGTTCCAACGAAAGTGGTTTTACTTGCTTCATTTAATTCCCTCGACCGAAATTAATTCGCATTTCTAGTGTTCCTTAACCAAAGTGTAAAAACGATCTCGTTGATTGTATTGCAAGGAATTGTTAGTGTGATTTTAATGTCTATATGTCACTTGACTATGTCAAAAACGTCGATAGACAACAAAAGATGTTACAGACTATGTTATATGTATCGCTAAAACAATACTAAACCAAATAAAATAATTTCAAAGGACGCTTCCGTCAAGAAACGCAATTCTTTTGCTCTATATCAAAAGATAGCAGCACTTAAATTATTCACAATATCTTATGTTGTATATTCATTTTAACAATAGAAAATACTGTATGTAGTATGAGTAGTACACATTTAAATAAAACACGTTAACGGTTTAAAACGCGATATATTATAGTTAAACTTGTCTCCCTGTGACCACTGCTGTTGCAATGCGACCGAAACGTGAGGCCGTAGTTAAAAATAATATTCAAACAAGTTTAACTAAACTATATCGCGTTTTAAACTGTCAAGGTGTTTTTTTTAAATTTTACAATAAGAATATTTAAAATTTGTGTACCTACTGTAGGTCTTTGATACGGAACCCTTCGTGCCCGAACGCGACTCGCGCTTGTTTTATTTTTAAATAAAATTATAATATGTCCAGCAGAATATGCTTTACGCTTTGTGAGTTATATTTGTTGCTATTTCTTTATATAATTTGCCTTATTAATGAAACATTTTAACGGATTAAAACCATATTTAGTTAAACATATTTGAAAAAAAATTAATTTTACTGAGATATATCTCATTTTAAACTGTTAAACTGTTTTATTTAAATGTACTACTTACTCGCATAAACTACAGATAATATTTGGTATTTGCCTTTTAAAATTAATCAGTAATCAATATTCATTAATCAGGTATAATTTAATTAATACAGAGAGTGTACACTTGAGATGCTTCATGCAGATAACTAAAATTCTAGAAAGTTAATATAACCAGACTCCTAAATGAATAATTAAATATCAGAAGTAAACTAAATAGCTAATAAAAATTTCAATAAAAGTACAATAAGCTAAAAAAAACGTGACTTACCTAAATTAGAACTAATTAACATAATCAGCTAGTCAACCCAAATATTATGTTTAAAATATTTTACAATATGCTGGGCATTCGATTAAAATAATTATACACATCTAAATAAATATATTAGTGACAAGTAAAATAAACCTTAGGTAAGTTTAGTTATCTAAGTTCTCCATGATTAAACTTCAATTTTAAATATAATTTTGAAATAATTATTTATATAATTCTGCGTTGAACATACGACAAGAAACAAATTATATACATATAATTCCTTAAAAAATTCATTAAAGTTTAAAAAAAAATCTCGCAACTTAGGTAATGCCCTTTCCAAGTTTTCCAATTTGCCCCTTGGTAAAATTAAATAATTTCTCATAGGAACGTCATCATGCGACTTTGCCAAAAGTTTATTAAAATTATTTACAAATAAAGTCATTTCTATTAAAGTCATGTTTATTAGTACATTTTTAATCAAACTTCTTAAAAGAAATAGGGTTGAAAAACTTTTTATTATATCAGTTATAGTATGTTTAAGTAACGAACCATTACGCAGTAGAATTTCCTACAAATCCAATTTGTCTTTCCTATAATCACAGTTCACAAGCGCTTTTCTTCAGCTATTGTTAACGACCTACAGTTTCTAGTGTAAAACAAAGCAGAAATCGATGTTCTCCACCTAATTGTCTGTTACCACGCGCTCGGTACAGGTTTCATGTGATATTATCTTATTAAATTAATTACAAAACATTAGTATCCTAAGCAAAAAAATCATATGAAAGATTTTTGTGATGGAATATAAAATAATTTGAACCATATCTCTGACATTCTTTAAACTCTATTAAATTAACTACAATTGAAAACGAATAGATAGAATATAGAATAGAGAAACAATAAATACCAGACATAGCTCTAAAGCTAGGTTACCTAGTACTTAAGTGAATCCTATTATTGGTATCAGTATCAGGGTCACACCATAATTTATAACAGTTGTATATTCCCTGATAGAAAACTAAAACTTTTGCTTAAAAGCCTTGAAAAAGTAGAAGTCTTTGTTATTTACAGCATTGTATGAATTACGTTAACTTCTCGTAGCGACATCTAGGTTTAAACTGTATTACTAACACATCTTAGATCTAAGCGCACCATTTACGGCGTTAGAAACTAATGAGAAAATAGGTTCGTTGTTAAAATACAAGATGGCGCAAATATCAATTGTTGTAAATTAATAATAATTTAAATAAAAAACAAATAGTATTTAGTATTTTTTTTAAATTATAATTATTTTAGTTTAACTATTCAGGTGTTTTTTTATAACTTAAAATTATTATATGGCTATATAAGCTGATTCACAACTGATGCTTGATTACGATATTTTATCTATCAAGAGCGGAAATAGCTTTTTCCAGGATATGATGTCATCAGTAAAAGGGGTCTACCATAAAATACGTTTATGTTCGCTAGTTACATGTTATATATTGTTTATTATTATATCAAACAGATCAATTATTTTTGAGTATCGTTAAAAAAGTTAATGAGGAAGAAAATTGTCATTAACCTAAACAATAATTAAATTAATTTAGTTCACGTTTTAAACTGTTAAAGTGTTTCATTCAGTTTAATTATTTAAAAAATGCTTAGGCAATGTTCCATTAATTAGTATTACCTTAAACATTAATAACTTCATGTTTAAAATATTATTATTGCAACTCTGAAGCCTTTTGTATTGTACGATCTAGCGCCACCCACCTAGTTCTTTTTTATTTTTTCCGTGACGTCAGGTTGCCTGAAAGGGATAGCGTATAGCGATAAGAGTGCCTTTTATTTATATGTTTTTTTTTAATTACGTAAGCTATTCCAGTGGTCATTAACATTACATTTACATTTACCACCAGCCCACAAATCAAGGGCGTAGAACAAACAAGAAGAACTGGCAAGAAACTCGCCGCCAATCCTTTTATTGTCATTAGTATAGTTCCATTATTTGGATGCATTTGGTGCTTCGGAGCACCCTAAAGGATTGTATAGAGGTTCCGCTTAATGCATTCGCGTCGCGCTTCGCCACCTGCGGCAATGACCCCACTTGGCTTATCCTGTTCACCCCAATCGGGTGTCTACTAGACCATTTCTGTGTAAAGACAGGTTCCGTCTAGTTAAACTCGTATATAAAACCGTTTCTTCCTCTAGGATTAACTAGGTCTAACAATAAAGGTGTTAAACCTACATGACGTATGACACGAGCGGGACTTGAACCGGCGTCCATAACGTTGCGATATGATGGTCTAACCAATTGAGCTACCGTTTTTTGTGTGTGTTAATAATATTTATATGTATATCATAAAGTCACTATAACCTACCTTTAGATTATTGTGTTTTAGTTATCATCATTGTATTACCTATCACACAGTACCACATAGGTCAATAGCGCAACTTAATTAAATGTAGTTGTTGGCATTCCATAATCCATCTTGTAAATTTTTATTATTATTAGTATGTAACATAATAATAAAAGTATGTTATATAGGCGCTTTGTTCTGATATGTGGACGTATCTTTGAAAAACATAGCAATTACTAATATTTACTTTTACTTGAAATGCAAAGAGGGCGTCTATCACAAAATTCTGCAACCTCTTTACTTTGTGTAAGATTTTCTCTAAACTACGCTAGGTGCTAGATTTAGCGAGAAAAGCGCTAACTTGCCAACAATGTCAGGTGGTACGATTGTTTACACGCGGTACAATGGGTCGGCTACCTCGAGGGGAGTGGTGCTGACTTTACACCCTCCCCTCCCTTCACCTCTCACCACATCAGCGAGATCGGCGCACGCGCAAGCCAGTTGCCCGCCGCGCAGCCTTCAGAATCGTTTGTTTACATCTTTATTATTCGTGGCATCTTTACATAGTGTTGCTTAGGTATAGTGGAGTGGTTTTACAAGGAACTAATTACCTTAAAATCTCGTGGAAAGTTGCATTTTGACGTCAGGTATTTTATATACCACCAAAGTGATTGCCGAAAATTGAAGGCAGTAAAACTATTCTACTTTCGGCGAACACTTAATTACGAATATGTACTTATTCAATTTAATTATACAATGCTTACGTAATATTTCTTTTGTGTCTTCAAATACCGAGTCATACATAAAACTGAAAATCTCATTAATGTACGAAATAATTACAAATGAAAATCACATAAATTAAGTCAACCCGTGACCACGGCTGCTTTAAAGCATCCGAAACATCGGGTCATAATTAAAAACAAGTAAACTTATATATTTCGCATTTTTAACCGTTTAAAATGTTTTATTAAAATGTATCATACATAATTAGTCTATAAGGTCGATATTATGTGTAATTAATGTTTTGACCAATAACGTTTCATTAGTTTTGTTAAAATACATTCAACCCCGTATATATTTATAACACAAGTTGGATAATCGTATATTTTATCTTATAAGGCATCGGCAAAATTGCCCGCAAAACCTTACTTTCTCGCCTTTTTAGATTTCGCAGACGAAATTGGCATTGTTTAGAAAGGCATTTTATGTAATTACTGTGATCGAAAGTAGATAATAAAACCTTAGATCCATCTAAGGTTATTATTAGGTTAGGTTAATTATTTATCTTACAAATTACAATGTGTACTTAAAACACTTAATTTAAAACATACAGAATAAAATCTTACGATATATCTTAATTAACTAATACTAATAACTATTGACTATTATTTTATATAGGCTATGAAACCGATTGTATCTCTTGGTTTCTTACAAAAATTAAACTTATTTCTTCTACATCTATGCAGGAATTTAGGAACTTTGTAATGACTAGATATAATCAAGAGATTACTACTTCGTTGGTCTACGCCAAGTCTAGGGTTTGGCGAGTATGTCTCATTTTGTGGTTGTAATCAGCAGAGCCCACCAACCACCAAACCAGCATGGTGGGTCAAGCTTCTTCCCCTGTGCTCGTGAACTTATTTAAAGTTAAAATTCTTTATTTATTAATTAAAAACATTTATATAATTTATAATAATGTTAGCAACGCGTAGAAATTAAATCACAACAGAATTGCTATCGATAATTCTTACATCTGTGTTGGTACTAGATGTGATATTAGCTGGCGGTATTATATCCTAACGCTATCATTATCACTCGCATTGTTATTTACAGTTCGTGTCGGATATATAATAGGTGACATAGATCTACATAGCTAGATCCCAGCATAGAACGCTCTTGCGAGATGTATGTTTGTCAGTTATCACGGCTAAACCAAGGAATCGATGTTAATAAAGCTTAACAGGATCTGTATCCAGCTTTTGGCATAGACTACTGTTTATCTAGTAGTATTTTTATTACATACGAAAAGAGCCGCAGACAATTCAATAGTATACTTATTGACTTATTAACGGTTCAGAACACGAAATATAAATTAATATATCTTTTAATCTATTTTAGCTCGATATAATTTAATACTATCAGGTTGAAATTTAAAATAATTAAAGAAGGCTACAATATGAAAATAGAATAGGTACACTTATAAAACTCTATATGCGATTTATTTGATTGGATTTTTTATTCCGTTTGCCAGTATTACATGACATCAGAGTTAAGACAAATTGAGAATTTTTTGTCATCGTCTTGTAGTACCAAACGTATGTGTTCGGTGTTTATCTTCCCTGAATAATTACTAAACCTATAGATAAATTAAAAGCGGGGATCGTTGTGAATAGTGGTTTTTCAATCTAATAAGATTTTTTATTAATATTATGTCATTTATATCCTTTTATATTCTCTATATCCTTCTATAGTCTAGGTATATAAATCTATAGTATAGTCCAGGAATGTCGAATTCCGTCCGTGTCACCACCCACAGATAAAAAAGCCGTAATGTTTAATCGCGTTTCGATTTCAGTCTGTGGTTTTCCGATTATCCGATGTCAAAGTAGGTAAACAGCGCATCCCCCCTTTCATTTATATCATCGTTAACTTACGTCATTAAAACAAAAGTGTTTATAATTAAAATGTCATTAGTTAGAAATCTTTATAAATCGTAAATTAAACAAACATACTATTGATCTAGTTAATACGTACTATAATTTAAAAACCTAAAGGCTACGGGCAGATTTATTTTAAAAAATCAAACAAAAGTAAATAAATACCCTAGTGATTAATAAATAAATCTGCTTTGAAGTTTTTTGTTGAATTTTGAGTCTTCTATTTCTGCCATCATTTCGGTTTCTTGGTAGAAGTGGGATCTCCTTTCTTCTTCTTTCAAACTAAATTTAAACACTCGGAGTTAAGAAGTAGAACGCATTCCGTACCTGTACTTAGAAGTGGTACATTAATAACAAAATCTATAACCACTGTGTTGGATGCCGTGACTTCTAGCATATCTAGAATAAAAGGATATGAGGACTATACCAGCTAACAGAAATTGATATTGTACCATTTTGTTGACCCACTGTAGATACCATTCAAAGCAATATTACAATGCAACTTACGTCACTTGTCCTGTGACTTTTAGCCTGCGGTCTCCTATAAACGCTGTTTATGGCTCGTACGCAGTGTCGCCGGCGACTCGGTCTCTCGGCGACCAAAGTGTGAGTCGCCGAGTTGCCTGGGCGACCGACGACCGAATAAATAGTATTTTAAGAAGAGCATTGTTTGATGAACCTTGTAAAGCAGACTTCATTTTCCATGTACGGTTTATGAATATGAATTCCTACGAACGCGTAACGCGTGACGCAGGCCTCCGGCGTCTATAAGAGACCACAGCCTTAGATCTCCTGACAATAGCCTATCTTGGATTCAATGGTTTTAGTAATATACCGTGGTAAGTATTTAATCGACAATTGTTTTGTTTTTGACTTATACGTTTTGATTATAAACTCTAATTAAAACTGAAAAAGTCCTTTATTTGCGGTACTTAATGAAAAAAGGTTTAATTTTTTAGGATTTATTAAAAGTAAATTTAGTTTATAACAATATAGTCCAGTACAATATTAATTAAACTGAAACTATTTTGGTCGTAGACCTCCACCAAAATAATCCATGCAACCCAGTTTTGGGTAGTCGGCCTATTGTGAGCCAAATCACCTGTAAGTCGTCGGCTCTTTTACTGGCGTCGTTCCTAATGTTGCCTTATGGCGCGTCTAGTAAAATATTATTACGAGCGTTTTAATTATGCTTTTGGTCAAAAAAAACGCACTAAATGTCGTTTTCCTGTTTTTGCACATAAATTTGAGTAGAGTTTATATTAATAAAAGAGTACTTTAATAAATTGTTTATTATTAAAACATTAATAAATAAAATATACTTTATTCTCTCAAAAATTTTGAGAAGTACACCCAAAAAACCAAATACATAACCAAAAACTAAAACGTAATTACTCGTAGTTTCATTCATAACAGAATCTCTACTTTCAACCTCTCAGGAACTCGAAATTTGACTTTTAAAATCTAAAGTCAACAATTTGTAAGAAATGCGGCTTTGCCTAATTTATACACTACATTCATCGATTATGCTAACTCTCGTCACGAGAGCATTAAATTCAATTTTATTCTCAAGTTTGGCGCCGCAGCCGGCACGTACGTCCGCGTAATAAGATATCGGAAACCGTAATATTATATTTATTTCTTCGTTCCATTTGCTGGTGATTTAGACCAGAACTTAGTGCCAACAAATGGAACTGTATTTTTGTTTTTTTTTTTAGAGGAGGGTTCACTTGACGATAGGTGATATACTCTAGCCTCTAAACAAAATGCGCTGTCGACCTATTTTGGCTTTGGATATTCGGAAATCCGATGACTGAAACCGAAACGCGCTTAAGCTTCACGGCTTTATCATCGGTGCTCGGTGGTTCGTGACCCGGGCAGAATGTCTATTCTTACCACCCACGTGTTGGATCTGGAAATCTGGATATGAAATTCCAGATTTCCAGATCCAACGTGTTTCAGAAAAAGTAGAAATTGAAAAATTAGAAACTTGTAGGGCCTGGTGGGCATCGAACCCACGACACGTTGTTTATTAGCGATACATTGCTACCATGAGACCAACGAGCCCATTCAACGAATGTTAAGGTAGTTCTAAAAGTATATAAATATAAGTACGTAAAAAGAGTAGATGAAGTCTCTAAAAGGACAAGTGATAAGTCCACATTACCTTGTTATCAATTCACTGTATCTTAGAAGTAACAACGCCTAATTTGTCTAGAATGGAGGTGGCTTTTGAGATAACAGCGATAATAGTAGAGGCCAAACATAACGTTGCTTAGCGCCTTCGCCACTTTTTGCACGTCTGCAAAATTGAACGGTAATACGTCAGGTTGTGATCATAGTGGACACACTTTTCCGCGAAGGCGAGCCTTGTAAAGTCACTGTAGTGGTAGACAATATCGATTATAGATTTTTTTGAATGCGTTGTGAAGTGAATTAGTGTAATGAAGGATCCACCGAAGTGCGAAGATGTGGCTGACAAACTTGTGAGGCTGTTCGGCTGGAGGCAAACGTACCCGGTGCAGAAGTTGCAGAAGAATTTGATACCCAAGCCAACGGATCGGGTAAAGATCATTTTCATTACGTAGCGAATAGCTTTCTGATTTGTTTACGTGTTTTTGCTGTTCAGTGGTAGAATAATTTGTTCTGTAATTTTGTATTTTTGCTATAATTTTCCCGAAAATCCTATCGGTTTTCTTTCACACAATATTACTTATAGGCTACAAGTCTTTATATTAATCATATGACATATTTTGATAATTCTCATTAACTCATCGATAAATTTAGTGCAGTTTAACACTCTGTTGACTTGTAATTCAATTTTTGTTTATGTATGTATAAATAATCGTGCCAAATGTTATGTATTTTGAAATAATTTTAAACCATCTTTTCGAATTCACCGCAAAAAATATTGCACTTCACGCAGAATTTAACGCAAACTATGAATAAATCCACGTTTACTTTCTGTTTCGTGACTTCCATGAGTGATTTACCTTATCGTCAAGACAAGGTAAACCAATTTGAATAACTAATGAGTTTTTTTTAACAGGATTTAATGGCCAGGTATTTAAGGCAGATAAAAATAGGAATAGACAGTTGATTTTTGGTTTAATAAAGCTTATCTAAATTTTTAATCTGTTAGAATGTACAATTTGTTGTTTTAGTTGAATAATTAATGAGTTTTTGTTACATTTAATGGCCAGCTATTTGAGGCAACAAATATCCAGATAAAAATAGGCATAGACTATATCTGACATGACATATTTTTATGATTATTTTTGTAAGTCAAGCCGGGCAAAGCTTATCTGTAGTTTTAATCTGTTGTAATTAAATATACGTCTATTTGACACAGAGATTGCAGAAGTTGTTGTTAAGAATTTGCCTATTTTCCAACGTATGCACAGTATTAAGTGCTATTGTTAAAACCGACTTTCTCGGTCCTATTGTAATCTGAAAGTGTTGGAAAGCAACTCATTAAGTCAACACGGCTCCGAACTATAATTATATTGGTGAAGGCATATGTATAAAGGTATTGTAATTGAATATTCTTAAAATGTATCACAAGTAAAATCTTTTAAAAGCATCAATCAATACGTGATTTTTTTCGAAACATGCAGTCTGTAATTTGCTATCACCGATAGACCTTTGATTGATAACTATGCAATTGATATAGAAATGGACCTTCCATTATTAAAGACAGAAAAAATATTTAATACTGTATAATATTTTTAATAGTGTTTTTAAGTATAATCAAGCGCCGTTACTTTGGTTGGGGTATGAGCGGACATATATGTGTATCTCTTCTTTATATTTGACCCCAGGATTGGAACGATCACTTGTTCACACACTTCTTTACCACTAAGCCACGCAGGAGGTTCACTAACCTTGTAATGAGTAATCTATCACATTCCATAACGATACTGCGTTGTAACTAGAATTACCAAATAACAAGATAACACTTGGTAATTTCTAACGCATTCATGATCAAAATCAACTAGCAGTAAATCCGATTCCACGCTTAACTTTCGACAATCCACGCTTACAGCTAACAGGATTATCGAAATCAACCGAGCCATAAAATATTATGCCGTAGACGTCCATAATAATCGGTATTTTATACTTTCTTAGGTTAAACAACCTTTACTGTATACAATTTATATTGTAGTGTTTTCTTTTTACGTTTGGCGACCTCTGTAGGCCTCGTGAAGAACGGATAACATTTCGCTCCGACAGGGCACGATGTTGACGAATAAACTCTACTAACGAATCAAAAATATTGCAGAATGGACTTGTTATTATTTCCAAAGTGAATAAAAGGTTGTAGGTACGTTAATATTACTACACATATAAGAATAATTTTAATTACTTATTTTTATAAGTTGTTTTAATTTATAATAAATGTTAGTGTAAAAATTAAATAATATGGTTTTACATTTTATTACTTACAAACTCACCAAGTATTAGTTACTTACTTACTCACCCGGCGGGGCGGGGGCCCAAAGGGGGTTTTTGGCCCCCAAAAAAAAAGAGCCCCCTTTTTTTTCCTTGTTTTTTTTTTTTTTTCCCTTCCCCCCCCCCCCCGGCCCCCCCCCCCTTCCCCCCCCCCCCCCCCCCCCCTTTTTTTGGGGGGGGGGGGGGGGGGGGGGGGGTTTTTTTTTTTTTTTTTTTTTTTTTCCCCCCCCCCCCCCCCCCCCCCCCCCCCCCCCCCCCCCTCTTTTTTTTTTTTTTTTTTTTTTTTTTTTTTTTTTTTTATAAGTATTGTTAATCTTAAATTAATAAGCGATATGTAGCTACTATTTAAAATATTTATTCAGTACGTTATCAGTGATCTTACATTGTGGTAAAACGACTTCCTGTCTTTTTCAATTGTAAAATTTGAAATTCAAATAAGTCATTAAAACTATGCGCCAAAAGTAATTCAAATACTGACAATGATAAAAAATTAATAAGCCTGATGACACCTATTTTTTATAAGCTAGCTCAATTTTTTTTTTGTTTACTCAAGGTTTTTTAATTCTTAAAGACTAAGTACTGAATAGGTAGTTAAAAGTTATGTATTGTGTTTAGCTTACGCGAGTTTCTTATTTTCTAAAGAGTTCTTTCTTTAATTTCTTTGCAGCCATGGTCATGAGGGGTTATTTAAAGTTAATCACATTAAAAATGATTTTAAATGCCCTATATTTTTATTAAATGTGTCGTAAGGACTGTCAACTTAACCGAAAACGTCGGTTCGTCGTTAAAAAAGTATATTATGATATAGTAGGCAATATATTAATTATTGCCCTCGTTTTAGACCGTTAAATAGCGTTTCTTCTTCTATTTTAATAAGTTATATTAGTGCATGCACTTCGACGTTAAACTCGTAAATTACTAACGCCTGTTGTTCTTCCAACCCATTGTTTTACCGCAGTCTTATTTGCTATAAAATAAAATAGCATTATTGATCTACACTCGAAGAAAGAATGTACCTGTACTATCTAAGACTAAACTATGATTAAGATTCTGAACTAAAACGCAATAGCTCGATGTATTTTTAATTCACATGCGTTCTTACATTTAATTAGATTAAGTGGCACTGAACCAACACAGAAAATGCACTAACTATAACCTTGTCAACCTTTTGTAAAATTCTCCAAGTAGTTTTCCATTATAATAAGACCTTAAAATATAATACTATAATACGTATTGTACAGATTGTTAACCAATCATTAAGTCATTTGGTATTTTTATGACATAGGATAGTCAACCATGGAGCACTTGATGTAAGGTATCAAAAACAAATGCGCTAATTGGCTTTGGACTTAAAAAACATGGACAGACTGAAACCGAAATATGTTTTGGATTTTTTTTTCAGAAACACGTTAAACTTGGGTTCCATTCCTACCAAGATATTTGATATTTGATAATAACACATGTATTACTCAATAAATATCAACTGTAATCTTAAAAACTATCTCCGAATCGTTTGGGTATACTATAACATATAATTGCTTATCAGTATCAATTTCTAACCTCACTAGCCCTCTCAGTAAAAAAAAATAGTTTTTTTTAAATATGTATGGCCTGGTAAATTATAAAGTACCAGACAACTACAGACTATAGTACCATTTTTCTCTATCAATGTAATTTACAAGTAATTCGCACGTTAGAAAAAACTATAGTTTACTGAAGTCTTGCGGTCGGGCGGTACAATGTCTACTCGGCTTCAGTTATATTCGCGCCGCGGTGCCGACTGTGCGACTCGGTTTTAAACATAACGCTATCTAGCATTGATCAAGACCGTGACGGGTGAAAAAGTGCACTTAATTGCTCGATAGGCCGTAGTATCAAAGTCTTGTAAATGCGCTTTTGTGCTACCTTCTGGACCCCATTTAATTATTACGACTGTAGTTCTAGATTCTAGATTATGCAAATTTCAACAGGTGTAAAGTGCAATACAACCTTGAATTGCGTCTTTATTCAATAAGTTTAAATTTTGTAATGGCGATTTGTTGACATAGTTTGAACTATTTGTTTAGCAACGTGAGCCTAATACGAAAATTACTCTTTATTGATCTTTTATGTATATATACCCATACATTCAAACATATATAATATTTTTAAATATTTCTTTGGCATTATATTCATGTAGATCTTGGAATTAGTGTCAATTGATAACATAATTATCACATAATAAATAAGATATAAGCCAACATCCGAAACGACCCTTAGATGCTTTGACGTATTTAAACTTGCCTATTCGATGACTGATCGAACAAGGTGTGCATTTCCGCCAGTCCTTTCCAAGGATGGGCATCGACAAATTAGTCGCCTTAGAGAATAGTGCGATCTTATCTGGTACCGATTACGTGTTGTTCTGTATGTACGTGTCAGGCCTCGGCGTTTTAACACACCGTTATCTAGAAGCGAACATATTTCCGAAAGAAGTAATATAATCTACCAAATGGTTAAATTTTGAGATACTATAGAGTATAAAATAACAGATACAAGCAGCTAATCTAATATTCATATGAAATTCTATCAGAATTTAGATTCTCCTCGATCTTTCATGTCACAATATTGGACATACATTCGTTAGAGCTGTGGGTTTTTATCTATATTTTAGTCCTTAGCGACAGCACAAAACGCTGAAGATGCCGGTTTAAGTCCTGCCCGTGTCGAATTTTTTAAATTTTATTTTCGATTTTTAAATTAAATATGCAATAACATGTGAAAAGAATATAGTTTTCAAATATATTTTTTTTTTTGCATTTGAAATAATATATTTGGCAAAACAAAATTTCCTATAATTTTAAAGGCAAGGAGGCTGAGGAAGTTGTAATAGTAAAATAATGCAGGCGTCGCCTTTCCTCCTTCTCGGAAGAGACTCGCGTGATCTTCAACCGATACTCTTGGATGCTTTCATGGAATTCATAATGTACGCACAGCACGTTGTAAATCGTTGAACACGGAGTCTCGATTACGATTTGATTACTTTTTTGTCCCAAATCGAAGACGCAATAAGACCGAAGCGAATTTCGTAGACAGTTACATATCAATGTATCGATTAGTAATGGCCTACTAAAAGTACAAACCAAGATCCATAATGGGATGTAACATGTGGCACGGTGGCTGAACGTGAGGCCGTGTTTGGTCAGTAGTGCACGAAGGCCAAGGCTTCTTCGCGCCATTGACCTGCTACAAACAGTTCGGTGTTCTTACAGGTTCTATTATAGTTATCTAATATTAACTGGTGCGTCGCGTTTAAGACGTTAAATGCCCGCTCGTTTCCTGGTAATGCTTCGTTTCCCGGTTTTTTCGTTAAAAGTGCGAGAAAACGATGCAAAGATTAATGTTTTGTGACAATGTGCTTACGTAAACAAAATGGAAGATGAGGTGAAGCCAGTGCCGCCTCCGAGATATAAAAAGCGCGCGAAATTAGCAGTTCACAGTCAGCGACAGAAGAGAACTGTCAGTTGGGTAATGTCTTAGTCTGTGGTGAGACTACTGTTTTGATGTAGCTTCTAAAATGTTTTTTAGAAGCTATAACTCTCCGCTTCTAGACTAGCTCATAAGATTTTATTGCACCCTAACTTATAAAAAGCCAAATTTGTTACATTATATACAAATAAGGTTTAGCTTAGGTAGTCTCAATATGTGAATAATTCATGCTCCTGTGTATATCCACAATTTGTATGAATAGCTTTGCTGGTACTTGGTACTTTTATATACGGAAGTTTCACGATAACTTGACATCAATAGCTTGATCATTGAGCTGAATCGCAAATCACACAAAAGCCTACACAGAGACAAAACAGCTGTTACTGGCTCCGGCCTTTGTAATATCATCCAAGTGTTTAATACAAACTATTCTCTCGATGAGTATTGAAAGGAAGATTGCGTGGGAACGACCGTCTGTAGTTCTATAGATAATGAACAAAAAGCCTTGAGAATATTTTTGCAAAAGCAAATAATAATTATCGTATTATTTAATGCTTTTTGCACTGAATATATTATTATCACGTAGTGTTCACTGGTTTTGTAAATTGTTGTAATTTAAACGAATAATTTCTTTATTTCCAGGGTCCAGAAACATGGGTTGGGGTACGAGCACTCCGCGCCAGTTCAGGGGGTATATTAGACCCAGATGATCGTGTTTGTGACGTGGCCGATGACCGAGAGACTCTAACAGCAGAATGTACTAATCAGGCACCGCAGCCAAGGGCAGCACAAGCAGATGGAGCAAGTGGCTCATCAGCAGGGACCGCCTCCCCTGATATGTTTCGGGTGAGATATTTCAGTGTATTAAATGATCTTAAAATTCTTTAAAATATTTCTATATAGGTAATTATGTACATAGTATAATAATCATAGTCGTTATATATTTTATGTTCCACAGTTATATAAAGTACAACTAGTGATTGTGTCAAAAACCCACGTATTTAATACATAATAATGATATTTAAAAAAAAAACATTAAATGTCAACTTCAAGTACCGAAAGGCGGGAAACATGCCGGGAAGTTTCGTTGTAAAATCATGTTTAAACTTGCACGTTGAAACTAAAACATGAAAATTCATGAAAAGATAGTTCATAGTGTATCATTATGGTGTAAGAAAATAAGCATAGTATACCTTCCTAGATGTGATACGGTAGTGAGTGTAACTTGTATAATAAAAATTAACAGTAAAATTTGTGAAAATGGGTGACTGCGTCTCGTGTTATAAAGAAAAGAACAAAATAGTAAGTTTAGTTTTTTAAGTAGTAAGTTTTCGACTGAATATGATTCAAACCAAAAACTTTATATACTTTTATGAAACTTCTTGTGAAATTATAATCCAATATAATTGTTAATGTAAAAAAACAGACAACCAAGTAAATATTTTCCAAACTGATAAGAAAACAGGAAAGTATAAAGACAGGTTTTAACTTTATCAATACCTACATGCTTAATTAAAATACTGTTTAGTGCCTTACTTTTAAAGTAGGTTTTAACAATGTAAGTTTGAATACTAATCATTGGTAAATGATGTTGCTTATAAGTTCAACAACATATTTTAGCTAGCTATAATATTAAAATGATTATTTAGCTATACAACATTGTTCTATACTTTTTTCCCTGTGAGTTTTATCATGCTGCTGCTTCTTTGAGATAGAAAAATTATACTTATTCTCGCGAATATTAAATCACTATGAAACTTATTCATCTGGTTTGTATGTTTCATATCTGGCAGTGATTGTGAACCATATGTTATGTTATACTGATAATGAGCTTGAGCCAAGCTAACCGGATTATTAAATAGTGAATGTGCAACATACACATGAGTAATATAAACATATACTTACTCTTTAAAGAATCTGCTAATATAATATTAAATTTATTGGTTAATTTTTTCAATACTAATGTGTATTATGACGATAGAAAGATAAGTCTGTGGTCAGACCACAACTGCTGTTTGGAATCCACCTACAAATGGAAATTCTCAAACTTGATTACAAATAGCATAAGAAGTTATTGAAAATTGAATTTATTCTGTAGTTTAGTAACTGTTATTAGAGCACAAAGAACTTTGTTTTACAGTTGATTGATTATTGTGGTAGATGTCAGAAAATAATGGGAAATGTATGATGTAGTTGTGTTCACTTATAACTATTATATATTCCAAAGTGAAAAAGTATCTTTTTCAACCTTCTTATGGAATAATAAATTGGAATTGAACAGAGTTGTTATTATAAAAAACTTTTATATCCTTTCAGGGTGGAGGTGGTGTAGGAGGTAGCATGCGTGTTCCCAACACAGACTCTTGTGTGGAAGTCGGTGCTGCTGACTTAGAAGATGGTGCTAATGGTCTACAAGTGCGACGGGGCAGTGAACCCACATTACACCAGGATACTCTTCCTCCACAAATACAGGTATATTTTCAAAAGAAACATATAGAACTGGGCCCTGGCAGATAATAACAAATAAGCGGTGTTTAGCCTTTTGTGCTAAACAAGAATCAAAACCAGAATCTTTCTGTGTGAGACAATGCTTAGGAACATTTTTTTCTACTACTACTGAGCCGTACTCCAATACGTTGCTAGCTTTGAATTCGACCGAGGGAAACATAAAATCGTTTCGGTCGGGCAGGGCACAGAAGTCTGATCAACTACTTGCCCACTAAATAGAACGGATCAGTGCAAACGGACACATAAATGTGTTCGCCCCATGGCCCACGAGGGGGGAAACGGGCTCTCACTTTTATCAATGAAGGGTATTTCTTTTGTCTATGTATTTTATTAAAAATCGAAATTTATTTGCTTTATTTTAAGTTAAACTATTATTCAGTAAATCAATTAGCTTTTGAGGCTATAAAGTTTGGGTTGTGTCAGGTTACAGATCAAACCAAACGTTGGTCGGCGGCAGTGGTGTGTCGGGATGACCACACACACCGAGCGTTAGATCGACCTGAACCTCCACATCCACCAGATAAACACTCACACTTTCAGAGACAGACCAATCGCCTCTCCATGCAATTCTCTGGACCAGGGTAAGATCTTGTATTTAATACAATATTTTGAAGTGATGTAAGCATATTCACAGACTACTAATTTACTATATTAGAGTAAAATTCATTCTTTTTATGTCAAATATATATATTTGCATAATTTCAGCTTTTAAATACTATTGTTTAAAGACCTTCTTGGTCAAATGGTAACAATGTATGGCTCGTTCAATGGGTCATTGCTTTAAACCACATAAGGACTAACTTGTTTCAAATCAGTTTATAGTGTTACAGGCTACTGCTTATTTAAGACTATAAAAATGAATTACTTAATTTCCAGGAGTGGAGTATGGATGGAGGCAGCTGAAAGAGTTCAGATATACGGCAGCAAGAGTCTACCGAGAGACGCTAGACGTGAGCCTCTCGGTCAGGACACCACCAGTGAACCTAATAACAGGTATTTTTTAAAAATAGTTCAAACAAAAAAAGTATATATTAATTTTATTTAAATTGGAAAGGATCAGATAGGTTTTAGGAGGCATACAGCTTTGATTGGGGAATGTGGAGTGGGTAAAATGGTCAGAAGTTAATGCGGTACTGATTACCCAGCTAATGAAAAAAAAAATTAATAACACAAGTATTTAGCATACCATAATACACTAGTATACCATAGTCTGTACATATATTGTCAATTGCCATATTTAAAAAAGAAATGTATTTTACAGGGTAGAAGATATGCTGCGCTGGGTTTCTGGTGTTAATAATGTAGTGAATGTCCATCCAGTACAAGAGAGACCGCTAGATCTATTACCAGAAGGTAAGGTATATCTTTAAATTAAATTTCATTAACTTTAAATTGATGTCTAAATGTTTAAAACTCGATTTGAATTAGCGTCCCTTATTTGTAACTCAAATCTGCCACGCTAGCGCCATCTGTTGTCGTTTTGGAAATATACCTCACATATTACGATAATTAATTAATGTTTTTCACGTTTTCGCTTGTTAATAGTTCTTTAATTAACGATAATCACTCTCGTACACTACAGATAATAGTTACATAAGCCTACCTCCTTACTTAAATTACTGTCAGATAAAGGGTTAAATGTAATTATAATGACACAAACTTAGATAATTAATTAATTACTTGATTAAATATGACCCAACAAGTAATTAATTATATTTTATCGTCGACAAGATAGCATTAAGTAAATACCTCCAATACAATCAATTGCCTCTTTTAATATTAAAGAATGTGCAGTTATAAACAATTGTTTATATTATAGTGCGACCCAGTGAACGCGCCATATCCGGAATGGAGGTGCCAGTGAGTCCTAGCACCAAGGCCACTAATGGAGCGACGCAGAGCGTCTCCGTGTCACTTGTGAAAGGGGAGAAAGGGCTAGGTTTCACTATTACTACGCGAGACAATCCCACCGGCGGACATTGCCCCATTTATATCAAGAATATATTGCCTAAGGTTAGATAATTTTACTGAGTTCAAAATTATTTTTTTCTAAAATACAAAAAGCAAACTAATTATATGTTTATGTGTATACACATTTTGGTTCATTGCTTAGTTAACTCAAATTACAATTCTCGTTTTTGAATACTGGGTCAGACTGAATTAAGAATGTGTAAAAAAATTTACTTGTTAAAATTGTACTTTATATATATTTTTTAGTTTATTTCGAAGTATTACTTGAAAAAAAAAACTATAATGTATGAAAATTATGTAAACATTAATAATAAAATGATTGCAGGGCGCAGCAGTGACGGACGGTAGATTACGTGCGGGCGATAAGCTGCTATCGGTCAACAGCGTATCTGTATCTGGTCTTACGCAGCAACAAGTTGTCGCACTCTTGCGCAACACGCCTACTGATTCCACAGTTAACATACTCGTTGAGAGAACGCTGCCTAATCGGACACAGGTATAGTATTACTTGACAGTATGCGATATGTATGTTGATATCGTTGTTCGCGTGTTCGATTTTCTGGTTCAACACGTTTTTACAGAAGTTTTTATTTTTATAAAACCCATTAGACTTTGTTTGAAAATTTTGGACATTTAATGGGTGGTTTGGTGGTGGTACTTTAAATAATGAAATAAAAGTATTAGTTATTGTGTTACTTAACAAGTAAATATAGTTCGTGTCGCTCGCATCGAGTATTTATTGTTCTTCAGACAAATAATTAATAATAATTGGAATTTTACGGCTATTTAAACAATGTATGTGATGGCTTCTTCAATTTTCCAGAGGGTTGAACCTCAACAAAGTCCCACGAAGTACGTAGAAAAGGCGATAGGGGCGCCACCGAAGCCAGCGGAATCTGAACGGTCAGTGGAGAACGGCAGAGTATCAAGCATCGTCAACGCCATCAATGCCAACAGCAATAGCGCTAACAGTTCTGTCCGAGGAAGGGTTTCCAAGAGCTCTTCGAAAGATGACCTTATGAAGGAACATTCCTTAGATGTTGCTCTTCAAGAGGCTCTAAATTCATCGAATGGATCGGTAAGATTCTTGAGCTATACTAAATTATAAAGCTGAAGAGTTTGTTTGTACGCACTAATCTCAAGCACTACTGGTTCGAATTGAAGAATTCTTTATGTGTTGGTTAGAGCATTTATCGAGGAAAGCTTTGGGCTATAAAATATAGCTGCGGCCAATAGAAGCAAAGAAGCAGTGGGAAATGTGATACAAACTGGGAACGTTATTCATGTTTGAGAGTTTCGTTGCGTACGCTGCGATAACGGTTCAAGATTCCCTAAAAATATGCATGAAATAATTATTCCTTTTTTAAATCGACAGTTATGCCTATCTTTTAAGATTAACTTGCAAATTACCATGTCACCACTTCAGCGAAATATATTGTTTACTTTATTATATAACACACATTGCATCTTGTATACTGTATGATATTATATAAAAATATATAAGATCATCTTCGCACTTGCAACTGTAATCTCAAGTATATCTTATTTTAGAATTGTGATATATTAGCTTATGTTGTCAAAATCTCACTCGTTAATACTACTATCTTATCAATAACTTTCTTAATACGAAGTAAAACCTAACATTTATACATTGTTCACGAAACTAGAATGTCTGCGAGTAATAATATTCAGGTAAGTAAGTTTGAATTCCCGTTTTCCCCACTAGGGTCGAGGCCGAAACAAATATCGTTTTTCCGGAATTCAGGACCAGGACCTATCGTGCTTAGTCCAATACCAAGCAACGTGTGTTAAACCGTTGCTGGTCATAAAAGGCCATTCAGTTAAAGAAGCGGAGAAGTTTTTTTTTAAACCACTAAGTTTGTTTTTCCAGGTGACGAACCTCCGAAATCGTCTCATTCTCCGATTGGAAGTACCAGTGCACGAGTCAGAGAAAGCGGGCCTCGGTATCAGCGTCAAGGGCAAAGTCACAGCTACGCCTAAGCCTCACGATTTGGGAATCTTTATCAAATCCGTGCTGCATGGTGGTGCGGCGTCTAGAGATGGAAGGTAAAAATAGCAATGATATTTAAAAAGCAAATCAATTTTTTTCCAATGACTGCCCTTTCAATTCACCCACACAGATTAATTTCGTTCTGACTTTCTCAATTTTAACATTTTCCGGCTCGAAGGACCACTAAACATTTTTTAATTCATTTTTTTTATAGATTACACACAAACGACCAACTTCTCAGTGTGAACGGCGTGTCGCTCGTGGGTCAATCTAACGCTGAAGCGATGGAGACGTTAAGGCGTGCGCTGCTGCATTCGCGGCCAAACCTTCACGGAACGATCTCTCTTACAATTGCTAGAAGAACTGGTATGTATCCTTTTATGATTCAATAGTTATATATTTCATATCTTCCTATTTATCTTTTTGTAAATGAACATAATAAATAAATAAAGATATAACTTATTGTCAATCTCTTCTATTAGCCAATAAGCACATTACTGACTTCTAAAGACAATATACATACATTAAATCGAATCTTATTAGATCTAGGTAAAGAAACCATGGAATTTAATGAATTGGTATGAGTAGTTGATATTAGGTTTCAAATAAAAAACATATAAAATACATGAACTTGAATAGCAATAACCACATTTACAGACAGTATGGACAGCCTGGCGAGGTGGAAGGACGACACTCCGCCGAACGGCAACGACACGACAAACAGCAACGAGAACTCGCAGAATTTCAACACAGTCATCTACAACAGCGACAAGGAGAACAAACCCATCGACATACAGAACAACAACTACGACAAGAAACATACATCCGTCATCACGATTAACAACAACAGCTGGATATCCAATCAATCGGACGACAGCAAAGGTTATCTAGAAAGGGACAAAGATACGATACCACACGATAGCAAGCGAGATAGCTTTGAGTGGAGCCGGTTGGACGGTTGGAATCCAGTGATAGACAGATTGACGGGTTTGAGGAACGAGAGCTACTATATGGCGACTCAAATGGATGCTCCAGCGAATGGGCATCTAAGGCATAACATGGGACATGTGCATATGTCCCGATCGCCGCCTGCGCATCATAATGTCATTATTGAAGAGGATTATGGTACTAGGTGAGTTATATATTATATCAAATGTATAATAGTTTTTGGTTTTCTTTTCTTTAAGATTTTTAATTTCTTATTTTTGTCTACATAAAGTCAATTATTTCGTAGTCTTAGACTAATTTAGAATTTCTGATTTCTCTCTTCTTTTTTCGGTTTCACTCGAAATTATTTATCAAACTGTCCCTAATTTATCTCCTTAATAGTAAGCAATTAAATGGAATAGAAATAGTTCGGAGACAATATCATTTTATTGTAAAATTTTTGCACTTTATTATATTAGGGGCAGTGTCGGTGGCGAGTCAGGCAGTGAATGCGGCGCAGGCGCAGGTACGAATGGAGCCGGTTTCAGTCGCGACGCAGTAGGACGGCGTTCGATGTCCGAGAAAAGGCATGCTGCACTGGACGCTAAAACTACGGGGACTTACAAGAAGATAAAAGAAATTAAAGCGAGTGGTATGTATCAATATGACGAAAAACACTTATAAACATTATATTAATTAGAAAAATATTTGTTGTTTAAGCGTTAATACACATTTTACGTTTTTGGGACGCGCAACGCGATAAATTATAGTTGACTTTAATCCACAAAGCATCCGAATCGTCGCGTCATAGTTATTATCATATATATCGTGATTTAAACTGTTAAATGTATTGTATTCAAATTTATTATTTTTAAATTTTTTTTTTTTTTTTTTTTTTTCAATTTATTTTCGATTTTTAAAAATTATATAGTGCCTTCATGTGCAATAACTGTAAAAATATTAATGTTTTCAAATTTATTTTCTAACTGGTTTTTGTAGCTAAGTAATAAAGGAGAAATTTATGATTTAAAAAATGTAAATCGATAGTGCTAGTTATATTTCACAATAAATATAATATTATAACGATTTCGCGATCATATTGCCAGTAGAAATAGTAAAGATTCACTTTTTTTACAGCTGTACCAGTGGGCCCATCGTTGGGAATGCGAAAGTCATCTAGTCTAGAGTCTTTACAGACAGCCATACATGAGAAGCAAAGGAATCCTCGCAACGAACCGATCTATGCGCGAGCGCACCCACGTAAGTGTACATGTTTTAAGGGTTATATTGTTACTAAGTCATTCATTCACGGCTTTTTGCGCGCGAAGCAGTGTACCTCCAGTACTTAGCGTAAATAAATAATCCCTAAAAGTGTGGTTAAAGTTAATGATTTAGTGTTAATAGTGCGTGTAGGAACTGTGAATTACTGAATCTTATATAATTAAGCTCTCGCACTTAAAATTACGTGAAATAACTACGAATTTATCGAGAGATTAGTGCTGTGTTAAAGCGTACGAACTAAACGCGTAAGCGACGTGTATTCCCCGGCGCTTATGTCCTTTTTGCCGGCAACTTCGGATCAACCTCGTTAAGCGACCGTCTTTTTATTGTGAAACGACCGTCTTGTTATCAATCGCTGAAATGGATTGCAATAAGTGTATAAAGGCTATTCCTGATAAAGATGGCATCAAATGCACGGGCTGTAGCGCGCATATGCATTATTATTGCGTAGGGTTGAGTGAAAGTGATTTCCGAAAAATATTGCCTATGAATAAAATGAAGTGGAAGTGCCCGACTTGTAAGCCTAAGAAGCAATCCCCCAACACTTTGGCGTCTACGTCGCCAGGCCGCAACACGCCCCCGTCCTCGGTTTTAAATGTTGACACCGATGCGCTTACGAAGTATTTAGACTCGAAGCTTGACAGTTTGCGATTACAATGGCGTGAAGATGTACAGGCTGCGATTAGCGACGTTACGAAATCGTTCAAAGAGGACCTCGACAAACTATCGTTACGTATGGACACCTGGGAGCAGCGTCTTGATCGAGTTGAGACGGCACAAACCAACACCACGTCCGATGACACGCTTTTGCAAAAAAACGTCGCCCTTCGTAACGAGCTAAATGCCTTAACTGATAAGTTCAATGACCTAGATCAGTCGTCTCGCAGTTGTAACATAGAAATGCAGAACATTCCTCAGTCTAAAGGAGAAAATCTCATTCAAATATTCTTGAATGTTGGCAAAGTTCTAGGACTTGAGCTTTCATCGAGCGATATTAGGAACGTGCATCGTGTAGCCCCCGCATCCTCCTCACAGCGTCCTAAAAACATAATTGTACAGCTGTCGTCCAAGAGATTGCGCGATGACGTAATTGCCGCAGCGCGCGCTAGGCGCTCCCTCACCATTGACCAGCTCTTCGGACAACCCCACTCATCAATAAATAATAACATCGCCCATAATACCCGTTTCTATATAAATGAGCACCTCACACTTAAAAATAAAATTTTATATTCCAAAGCCCGCCACTTAGCTAAAGAAAAGTCTTATAAATATTCGTGGATTAAAAATGGATGTATCTTATTGCGTAAGACAGATGAATCCAAGGTGTTACAAATACGTTGTGAGGACGACCTATGTAAAATACTGTGACTAAATGTTGTCGTAATTTTAAGTTTAATTGTTACTATAATACTCTTTATTATTATTTTGATATTTTTTTGTGTTGCGGAGCTTTTGAGCGCGATAGTAAGTCAACGTCTTGTCTTGTACATGTTGTGCAATGTATTATATATTTTTCTAATTGTATCGTTAATAATTTACCTACTATTTTTTATCAAATTACCTCGTTTTGCTTTTATTAGACATAAGTATGGATAGTCAAAACAATTTATCCATTTTCTACCATAATTGTGGAGGTTTAAAAAGTAAATTAAATGAATTAAAACTTAACCTGATTACATGTAGCTATGATGTCGTAATTTTAGTCGAAACGTGGCTTAACGCTTCTATCCTTGATTCTGAGCTTCAGACAGATAATTACCTGATGTTCCGTCGTGATCGTGATTTACTCTTATTTGGCAAAAGGGGAGGTGGGGGTCTCTTGGTCTTTATAAAAAAATCTATCAGAGCAATTAGAATGCCGGAGCTTGAGATGCGAGTTGTTGAGGAAATATACCTATACCTTCCGGCTTACTCTTCACTTTTGTTAAACGCATGTTACATTTCTCCTTCATCTCCTCGATCTCTTTATGATACATATTTTAATAATCTTTACCAAATACACTCTAGTGCCCGTTACCTAAATTATTTATTTGTTGGCGATTTTAATTTACCTTACCTGATTTGGTCTGAAGGGTCCGAAAAGTTACTCGAGTCAGCTACCACTGAACAGTCAAAGCAATTATTATACGCGCTTTCTTTTTTAAATTTAAATCAGATAAATTGTGTTTTTAACGAAAATAATAAACTACTTGATCTGATACTGACGACACTTCCGGCATCGGTGACATCTTCGTGTGACCCACTTCTAAACCCTGTACCACATCATCCTCCCCTTGAATTAGTATGCACGGTTAAAGGTTCACGTATGTTACCTCATGCGTCAAATTATAAGTGGAACTTCTTCAAAGGTGATTATGATCTTATTAACACTTCAATAAAAGATACTGATTGGCATTATCTTCTTTCTCATCTTCCAGCGGACTCAGCAACTGATGTTTTTTATCATAAAATTTACAATATTATTGATACATATGTACCATATTATAAAATTAAAAGTAAGCATTTTCCAACCTGGTTTTCACAAGGTCTAATTCGTTCATTAAGGCGTAAATCAAAGTGCTGGTCGCGTTGGAAAACATATGGAAGTGCACGCGATTATCAAGAATTTTCTTTGCTACGTACTCGTGTAAAATCTCTCTTAACTTTATGCTATAATCGCTACATCGAGTCAATAGAAAAAAGTCTTAAGTCGAATATTAAGCATTTTTGGAAATACACCTCTGATTTAAAACAATCCAATTCTGGTTATCCACATTGTATGATATACGGTAACTGTACATCGGACAATCCAACTGTAATTGCTGAAATGTTTTCTCAATTCTTTAACTCTGCTTTAGTATCGGTTTCTCGTAATGCATACAATATCTCAGACATTACCGCAAATAGCTGCGAAGACGCTTCGCATATCTCTTTAAGTGAAATAAGTCTATCGGAAGATGATATTGCACTTGCGCTTAAAAAACTTGATCCAAACAAGGGCCCAGGCCCTGACAAGATTGGCCCATTCTTCCTTAAAAAAACATTTAGTAGTCTATGTCTTCCGCTTTATATTATCTTTAATAAATGTTTAACAACTGGCACATTCCCGTCGTGCTGGAAATTAGCTTTTATTACTCCTATTTTTAAGTCTGGTCGAAAAAATAATGTTAGTAATTATCGTCCGATTTCGATCTTATCCTCTATACCGAAAGTCTTCGAAAAATTAGTACACCATCATGTATACTCGGCTTTGAAACAAAAAATTCTTGAACAGCAACATGGTTTTGTTAAAAATAGATCAACTCTTTCAAATCTTCTTGTTTTCAGCAATTATTTATTTTACAATTTAGATCGCAAAAAGCAGATTGAAACCATCTATACTGACTTTAAAAAAGCTTTAGATAAAGTTGACCATTTGCTGCTACTGCAAAAGCTGTACTTTAACGGTATTAAGGGGAATCTGCTCCGATGGTTTGTGGCCTACCTCTGTGGTCGGAAACAATCAGTAGTAGTAAACGGCTATATTTCTGATTGGACAAATGTGACGTCAGGCGTGCCCCAGGGTTCGATTCTCGGTCCCTTGTTATTTATAATATTTATTAATGATATTTCCACTTGCTTCAAACATTGTAATTTCTTACTTTATGCGGATGATTTAAAAATATATTATAATATTAGTTCTACTGACGCTAGCCTATAGATTTGATGCATATTGTAAACTTAACAAACTTTCGCTAGCTTATGAGAAATGTAAACATATGACCTATACAAGAAATGTTAATATAATCCCAACCAACTTTTACTTAAATGATCATAAAGTCGAGCCCGTGACCTGTGTTTGCGATCTCGGCGTATATTTTGACACAAAATTGATTCTAGATAAGCACATTGAACACACTCTAAATAATTCGTACCGTATGTTAGGCTTCATTACTCGAAATTCGAAGAACTTCAAAACCAAGGATGCTTATTTATGCCTTTATAAAGCGTTAGTACTCTCCCGATTAGAGTATGCTTGCGTTATCTGGAATCCCTTTTACGACATATACAAAAATAAAATTGAGATGGTGCAAAAGAAATTCCTTCGTATGTTAAGCTATCGCTTATTAGGACATCGTTGTCACTATAAAGATCTGATGGCACGTTTTAACTTCCTTTCCCTGAGTCAACGCCGTGAGTTTCATCTTTTAACAACATTAAGAAAGATATGTTGTGCCGAAATAGATTGTCCCGATTTACTTCAACAGATTTACTTCCACATCCCCGCTCGATCTACGCGTACCAAAAACTTATTCTATGTACCAACGACTAGATGTAACACTGGTAAACGTGCCCCGCTCCACAATATGGCTTCATTGCATAATAACGCGTTGAATGATGTTGACTTGTTTTCGTGCTCGCAATTAACGTATAAATATAAGTTAAAAAAGTACCTAACCTGTAAAGATATCACACATATCTAAGTATTAAAGAATACCGTTTTTGTCATTTGTCACACTGTTTCTTGCCTTAAAAGCTTTTTCATATTTCTAAATCAAATGTTCTCAGAGAAACTTGTTAAGGTACTGTCTCTGAGTACATGCCTGCATGCATTTGGATTTTTATACAATTTTATTTTTCCCTAGACAATAAGAAAATTAGTTTTAAGTTATCATAAGAGACTGTACTGTTTAGTTTCCTTAATAAATAAATAAATAAATAAATAAAAAGTCTGACTGTTATAATTTAAATTATATATTTTTTTAAATCCCGTCCCCACTAAAAAAAGGAATATCAACATTTTGAGGATCTTATAAATAAATTTATTTTTTCTACATACACTAAAATATTCTAACTAGAAATCATGTTGTATATATATATACTATAAACTGTAAGAAGACTTATATTTAGTTGAAAATTTGTCACTTAAGTCATTTTATAGTATTATATAGATGTTATAAATCCTTGTAATTGGCGTTATTTTTTTGTCTTAGTAAAATGAAAATGTACTAGTGAGGATTTCTATACAAAAAGAAAATAAGTAACACACATCCGTTTTACTCTTTGGATAGATAATTGTACGGAATACTTGGAGACAGACTTGCTTTAATTTTTTTGTTTTTAAAGAAGCAATAAGATTCTTAAGCTTTGCCTCAATAAAATTACAGCGTTGAAACATTGGCTGACCGACGACAACAACGCCCCGGAGATCATCCGCGGTTCTCCGCAGCAATCGTCGCTCTCCACCAAGAAACCCTCCTTGCTCAAGTCTTTGTCCACCATGTTCAGGTAAACAGAACTGAAGTAGGGAAAAGGGATTATGTACCACATAGATGTACAAGAAAGCTGAGCTAGGATTCCATCTCTTTTAAATAAACACTTAAAATTACGGTTGCCTTTCGAGATACGAAAGGCTTATACAATTTTTTAAAGATTATTATTGCCAGTTGTTATATTAAAGGAGTGGGATTAAATAAAGGAAAGAACTAGCAAGAAGACGGCGAGTTTTTTGCTAGTTCTGTGTAGTTGACGCGAACGGTACACATAAAATAAAAAAATAAAAAAATTAAAATATATTACTTAAATTATATTCACGACGTTTCGGTTGCAATGCTGTGGTTACGATATCCTATGATGATTCTCATATGGTAATATTGATAAATCCAGGATCGGAAAACCTCATAAGAAAGAGAACGACGTGTACGGGAGGTCGACACCGGCCAGGTCTTCAGAGAAGTCGTTGTCGCGGGACGCACTAGAGAGGCACAATAGAATCGACGAGCGGATAGAAGACGCGCAGTTACATAGGTATGGATTATTTGTGTGTCTGTTTAACGTATTGATTTATGGAGGCGACTAGATAACGAGATCTCTCTACTTACATATCTTTCCCTGGGTTTCGAAGCTAAGACCTCTTAAAGAAATGCTAGATTTCCAAAAATCTTGCTTAGATATGTTTCTTGACTTGAGTAATCTGTATTATAGGGAGGAACTTCGTGCGAGACAGACAAGCGAACGAAGCACGCGATCCGAGCGACGCAATGCACCCGCCATACAGGTATATAAAAAATATTACGCATTGAAATAAAACATTCCTGACAGTTTAAAATTCGGAATATATTAAACTCCAAAGACTCTCGTGACCGCGATTGCTGAAAAGCATCCGATACGTCTACTGATAATTTAATATATAAAATAAATAAACTAATACATTACGCGTTTTAAATTTTATTAAACGTATATTTTTTTTCGATGTCAAAAAAAAATCCTTTTTGTAGGCAATGGAGAGCGCATGGGGCCCAACAGGGCATTACGTCAACTACGAAGAAATTCAACAGAACTTGAAGTGAGCATTAATTAGTCATTGATAATCTATTTTAGATTAAGAAAACCCGGTAATACAGGATTCGAACCCACTTACCAACCTTCTGTGCTGTTGTTCTATATATTGATCCAGTAGCACAACAAATTTTTTAATGTATATAAAAGTATCAAGTGCAAAATATAAAGATTAATGTATACTAATGCGTTCTAGCGCTCGCAGGGAGAAGCTAAGCGAAGTTCAAATCGGCCAAATGAGGAGACAGGTGCACGCGCAGAGGGCCAAAGCTGAGGAAGAAAGGTGAATATTTATCTCTTTCTCATTACATTTACATCAAGTACGAGCACTAGTACTCCCAGATAGAAGAACTTACTTAAAATTAATGCATCATACACACCCACTTCGGGCATTTGTGACATAAGTACTGTGGTTGCACTACACCCTCCGTTTTCGAGCTAGTAATACCAATCTTTCCGCAAGCGAGAGTCCACCAGAACCACTAAACACACCACCAACTCACTATGATGCTTCAGAAAGTCCTGGAAACATGTATCCTTGGATTAGAACTTTGGGCGCACCAAGGCGATACATAAATTCAATTTAAAAAATAAAAACAGTCCCGATGGTATTCGTAATTGTCCATGTTATTTGTAAAAATTTAATTACAATTAATTGACAACAACTTATAATGGCTATGATCATACATAAGGCTGTGGTCGCCTATCAACGCTGTAGATTGCATAGCGTCACGCGTTGTGCAGCGTTAAGATGTATATTATTTTATTCTTAGTCTATAGTCAAATCCGACGTTTACAAATACATTATTCAACAGTAGTTGTCCATGAACATCTGTTAATAGAAATAAGTTAATAAACTATATTATATATATACTAGTTTACTTGTGTTTGTTAATTATTTTTGCAATAAAAATTATTTTAATAAAAATAAAAAGCCTTCATTGCCTTAATAGAATTAGTACGAAAAATAATGTCGTAAAAAGCCCTCTCGGATAACTTTCTCTTTTGGGCACAATTCGCCCAATGCAGTCTAGCAATTGCCTGTATGTCGTCGCCCCATTGTTCCTCTGACCTGTTTCTATTCGGCTATCTATTGTATAAATACATATTTTTAATTTATTCAATCAAAGGTTGTCTGGAAGAAATGGTAAAGCGATAAGGCCGCACAAATGCCATTTCGTAACTTGTTAACGTGTAAAGAATTAAATACTTAAAAATAAATCTGCAGACCTCGCGCACGCAATCGCCACATGGCAGTGTGTAAAAGATACAACAACAAAAGATTAAAATATTCTATTGTTCTTTTTACACTAGAATAGCAAGTGACGTCATCTTGTACGCGATCCATCGCTTTTGTAAGTGACCGTAGCCTTATATACATATAAACACATTTCCATAGTAATTACTTAAGGACACTTGCATTGTTATTTATTAGAGCGCAACAATTTAATAATACGCCTTCATTCTTTATTGATTATTGGATTTGATCGACCTCATAATTTCCTTGTTAGCAGTGATTGAGCAGCGCTAATCGAGTTAACACTTCCCGTTTATAAGAAAATATTGGTAATAAAGTTTTTTTTTAAAAATTTTTTACAAACACAAGAATTAGTACATAAACATATTAAATAGGTATCGTTATGATAACATTCATATTTTTCACATGTTTTTGCGCGTTATAAAAATTAATATATAATAAATATAATTCTATTTGGATTCTGTCTATAGTTTACGCGAATTGTACACATTTAAATAAAACAATTTAACGGTTTAAAACGCGAAATATATTACGTCGCACTTAATCAAAATCTAAATAGATTTAAAAAAATATGAAGCGTGCGGGACTCGAACCAGCTACCACAGCGTTACTGTTAGCTACTGTTCTTACCGATTGAGCTAAGGACTAAGAACTGTGTTTCAGTTCAAGTCTCAGTTTTTAATTTATAAAAAACTGTATGTTTAAATAAAACACTTTAACGGTTTAACTTATATATCGCGTTTTAAACCGAAATTTTATTTAAATGTGTACTACTCGCGTAAACTATAGACAGTATTTAACTGTGTGTTTGTTTCTGTCTTATATTTTTCTTTTAATGTTTGAAACCGTTAAAACAATTGAGACAAAAGTTGGTCATAGTTATTTAGACCTCAAAAACCACAGCTTGATCAAAACTACTTCAAAATACATTTCCTATGTTCACTTAGTACCTCAATAAAATGTTAAAATTACATTTAATGTAATTATTTTGGTATTGTCTGTAGTTAGTCTGTGTACACAAATATACGAAATATAATTGTCGATTTATTTTTAATTGTGACCCGACGCTTCATGTAGCCTAGAAAGAGTTGTCCCCCAAAACTAAGACTGTGCTAGGTAAAAACTATATAATATTCTTGCTTACAATAATCGAAGGCAGTATTAATGTTAGTTTTTATACCGTCTAAGACAAATTAAGAAAACCTTGTTAAGGATTATCGGAATTATCATAATCTTAATTGATCAAATAAAATAAGAAATATTTAAACCCAGAAGAACACCCACAAGAAATGTTCATTATAAATTTAAGAAAAATATATAATGCCTAAAACATTAAAGCCAAATTTGTTTAGTAACCTTTAGTAAAATCATTTCTCCTATTGGTTATTCAGATATCCACAGACTGGTTGATTCTGACTTACATCTGTGGAATTTCTATATTTTTACCATTTATAGAATATATGAGGCTGATAGAGACAGAGTGGCCTAATGACAAAACATTATTTTCAATAAGAAGGAAAATAAAAATGCGCAATCAACTTAGGCGAAAGTAAATTTGTACTTTTATTTGTGTAAAAATTATGTTAACAATTTTCGTCGGCTACTACATTTGACTAAGACATATAAATATCTCAAGTCATTAAAATGCAGTTAGGCTACTCTGCTTCTACCTCATATATTACCCAGATGAATTTTATATGCTCAAGAAACATTTTAAAATTTAACCGATTGGACCCAGATGGAATCGAACCGAATCGAATGGATAAGAACAAAGAGCCCACCGCTAAGACAAACTTTATCTATGTACCTTGAGTTTTAACTAGTTGTTTTTTTTTTGCTCACTCGATGCCCGTTGGTAAGATTCACGTGCTTTGTAATACGTTTACACGTTTAATGACTCTTGTTGATTGCTAGATTTGTAATAGTTGAGATGTCCTCGTGCCGAAGCCGTAGGTCCTAGGTTTATATCCATGCCATAATTTAGTCAATTAAGTCTTAGTTGTTCATCGCTGGTAAGTTTTATCAAAAAAATGCGCCAGGGGATGTCTGATAGACGTTATGATTTAAGCAATGCTGCTATCCTGAATCTGTCGTAACGCGTTACGTAACGACACAGTTTCCATTACCTTGTACAGCTGGAAAACTGACGTATTTTTAAAAATCGAGAGTGATCTTGCACTTGTGCTGTGCCATAGAATGTTTCGAAAGTTCTGAAAAAAAAAACACAAACAAATTATAATTTTAATTATGATAACGTGTGAACAGGATACTAAGTGTGTTGTTTTATTCATAGCTAATACAACAATAGGTAATTTAATATTATTTAGTATATCCGCAGAGATGAAATCTCTAAGAGGTTGTTTTAACAACTAAACCGTTTAATTTTTAAAAGCTCCTTTTGCTTGTACTTCACGAAAATATTACTTATTAGGTCCAGTCTTCTTTATGCTTGTTAATTTTTAATGATTAATACGACGGTACGCAAAAAATATACCCACATATTCCGTACTAATTATTACACGGGTTTTCTCAACTCTCAATGCGATTAAAAAGCACAAAAACGAAAAATTATTCTAATAGAATACATACATGAATATGTTGAGATGTATGAGAATCTCATCTAATAAGTTTTCTCAAAACTACCGACAAAAAATAAATAGTTTCCCCGTGAGCACGGCTACTAGCATCCGAAACGTGGGGCCGTTGTTAAAATAATTGTTACTAATGTATTACGCGTTTTAAACCGTTGAGGTGTTTTATTTAAATAAATAGAATTAAAAACAAATATAAATAATTTTCGCGCGTTTCTTCTATGATAAAAATAGACCTTGATGTTTTTTTAAAATTCATTATAACATCACTGGTTTAAATATACACTACAGTAGCCAAGCCGCCGCGACCTTGACCATGACTGTTTTATTTCAAGGCATTAATGTACTGTTGTATATTTTGCACACTCGTTAACGCCATTCATATTGTATTTAACATTGAGCATAATTGATGGAATGAAAACCTAATGACTAAGATTATGGTGGTCGCGATGTCTTCTATTCACGAAAAAATTCGGCCAAGTGAGAGTCAGGTTTCGCGCTTAAAAGATTCTGTAGCAATAACGGACCTGTACTTTAGGTACTGTTTATTTGTATATAATTATTTATTTAACATTGAACCTTAATCACCAAGTGTTAAGGTTCTACATCTCGCAAGAGGTGCATGTATCAAAAGGTTGGCAAAACACAACGATGATGGAAATAGTGGATGTCGGTTCAAGTCCTGCCCGTGTCGTAGTCATTTAAAAAAATCTAAAATCGGATTTTTAGCTTTGAGTTATTGTTTATAAACGACTTCAAAAAAGGATATTCGTAAAAATTGTGTATGTTCTTTCTATATCTTGCGAAATAAGAGCTTACTTTAGTATGTATTTAGCGGCCACAAAAATGCATCAGACGTAGAATTTACGGATTCGAAAAGAGTATGAAGATGGGATCCTACTAGATGCGTGACCCTAAAAGGAAGCGACAAAAACCACTCATGACAGCAGTATTGATGATAAGTAATAATTGCCACGCAAGTGTATGGAGTTAATTTAAAAATGTTTTTATTTCCTTGTCAATTTTTTCTGTTATATTGGACATCAACTACTTGTGAATCAAGAAATAGTGCTGATAAATTCCGGAAATATATAAGCAAATACAATTTTGCACATCCATGATTTATTTGTAGGTATAAATGTACATATATAAACTATTTTTACGTACGATGTAGTAGTGTGTGGTGTTTTAGGAATTCATATCACTAAGATACAGATCTTCCTCTAGAACTGAAGAGGAAAATCCTTCAATGTGAATTGTGTAAAGTGCTATCAGCTATCACCAGCACGATTTACTGGGTAGCCTATTCTCATATCAAAATATTTCATCAACATATGTCGAATGATATTTTAAAAACATGACATTTTTACCGGCTAGTAAACATTACTGTTGTTAAAAATCCATAGCTCATTGTCTTATTGAAGCTACATTGACACTAAATTCTACTAAATTTGGTAAAGCCGTTTTGGCAAATCTCTGATTTACATCTAGCATTCCATTATTATAAGATATTAGGGTATGAGTATATTTGATTAAAACCGTACATTTTGTTTCCTAACAGCCGTCGCGTCGGTGTCTCCAGCGTCAGTCATTCCCAGCGCTCCTGTAGAGATCGCGAGCTACCACGACCGCATTCCAATTACTACGAATATGAAGCCGCACCGCCCCGGAGGCCTGGAAAACTCTCGCATTATCACTAGACCTGGAAAATAGGGAAACTTATACCAATGAACTATTTCGATACAATACAAACATTGTAATAGTTTTTTGTTGACAGTCGTATTGAATCAATTATTTTTTCCATATCGAGTGGTAAATATTATGTCGTATGAAAATATCACCGGCAGTAGAATTGGTTCATATCACTTCTTAAGAAATAAAACGTTAAGTTATGGAAGGTACAATAGGTATTATGCTTAACAACGTGACAATTATATACTAAAGTGTTTACTGTTTGTAAAATATACTTAATTCTAACTTAACCTCGAAAAACATCCGTCCGCTGTCATCATTAGCGTTTCCAAAGAAATACGACGGCAAAGTACTCGCACGAGCCGTACTTAGAATAAATGACTCTACTCAATAGCAACTTGTATACCGTCGGATCTACAGAGTGTCCTATTTCATATAGCTTTCGACATTCCATAGATTACATGTTTTTACTTCAAAGAATTGTTAAGGTCTGAAGAAATATACGTTTCTGTAATTTAAATTATAGCCGCCTTGTTAAATAACGTGTAAAAAAGGATTTTCATTTGTCGCAAGATATATAGTCTAATTAAGTGAAAGAGACAAAACATGTTATAAACATTCGGTTTCTCTAACAGAGTGGATTGGATACGAGTAATTTTCTCTAACGTTTGTATGCCCCCGTCGTAAATACAGAGTTAAAATAATTATATTTATTGGATTATCCTGTATATAAAAGTACCCTCGAATTTCAAGGAATTATTTTCGTCATATTGGGTAATACTCTCATTATTTTAACGAGCATCCACTTTAAGATGTAAACATTTACAGGCAATGCCTGTGGTGCGAGAGTAATAACATTTAAATATAAAATTTTTGACGGTTTAAATCGCGAAATTTGTGAGTTAATGTATTTTAATTTACGACCTGACATTTCGGATGCTTTGTAGGTAAAGTCGACTAACAAAAGGTAGCTTAACCGTTATGTTTCGCGGTGAAAACCGTTAAAAATGTTTTACTACTTAACTTTAGATAACACATTTTTGCACGCAAATATCGAATTTTGTGTGGTTATATTACGAATAATCGTTAAAGTACATAATATAAAACAAAATAGTGCAAAAAAATGATTACGTCAAACGCTTTACAACTCGCGAAAAAAGCTTGTTTTTATCACTCACCTATTAATCACACATATCAATGCTGCCTCACTAATTATGGAAAAGTTTGTTCGTACACGTGATACGAAGCGGCGTTGTATGTCTATGCTAAATTTTTTATACTTGTAATCTATATAAAAACTTATAAAAACAAATAGAGGTAGTGCTTTGGCGGAACGATTTTATGACGAGCTTATTAAACTGAGTACTTAGTTCGATTCCCAGGTCCCAGATGTTTCCAAATTCAATTCGCAAATTAACAAATACAGGTGAGACTTCGTCTGGCTCAAATTTCCGGATTAGACGGGTGGTAGGACCAGAATTCCGTCCAGATTACGAACCAACGTCCACATACAAAGGCGTATTTTAGTCTCGTTTTCAGTCTTGATTTCTGAATGTATCGGAACCATTTTTGCACTTATATTTTGTTAAGTAACAAAAGGGTGTTGGGAATTTGTAGTATATTATGTTTTGTCTCTTTCATTTAAATTCTATATATACTATTCGTGTGAGGGAGACACTACAGACTAGCTAAATCTTCGTAAACGTTTATAAAATGAGTTTTCTAATGTGCTCTGTAGATGATTATAATTCTAGGTTATTCGAGAGAAAATCATAATCTATTGAAAGTTATACATTATATCTTTTCAACATTTAACTCATTTGGTTGAATTTAAACCCTCCAATAACTAATGTATAGACGTCGTACACCAGTATTCGTTTATTTCCAATGCAATTGTAAAATGTACATATTTTTACATATAAGCTTATGTAAATTACATTCCTACTTATTATGTTAAGATTAATAAAGCTTTAAAGTTTAGATTATAAACGTAAGTATTAAATGTTATAGGGCCGTTCGAGTGTTACGTAAGCAACGTGGGGAGGGGAGGCTTTTGTGATTACCTTATTGATGATAAACTCAAACTGTAACTTGTTTTTATGGATGTGGGGAGGGAGGTCAAACGTATTTACTTAATACTTGAACGATCTCTTATAGGTATCTATAATCCCGACTGATTATGTATGAAATAATTCTATAGACTTCATTAAAATTATATTTATGATCGACTCATTGTTACGTCCATACTGCCGTCATATCGAAAGACGTTCTAAAATATCCAATAAAAAACTACTAGTAAACTAAAAAAAACTGGTTTTATTGAATTAATAAATCATAATAATAATATACAAATTGAATGCTTTATAGGCCCTTTTTCCTTATGACAGCAGCATAACTTCATATTCCGTCATAAGTATGTGATATTATAAATTAAGTCTAGTCCTACTTACTCCATATTACATATAATACGATCTGTATAATTATTTCTTTAAAATGAATCTGTCTCATTCTTTATTTTTCGACCGAAGAATATTTTTATTTTAATGTAATCCTGTTATTATTGTTGGATCAGTCAGCAAAATTAATTAAAAGTGGGTATGTGTGAGGGTAGTTGACAAATATACAATGGGATTGTTAGTGCATCTGTCCTTTTTACTCGAGAACGAATGAAGAGGACAGCGATACGTTTTCTAGTAGTCAAGTAGGACCGTATTTCATTTTCTGGCATTATTCTGTTATTGTAAATATACGGACATATAATAGGTATATATAAACTTATGTTATTGAATTGGGAACAATTAGTTTAATAGTAATGCAAATGTATTTTGCAGCTAAGTGCCCATACTGTACAGAGGTCGGATATGTTTTGTATTTGCGGCCATGTGAACCTTAAATCAATAAATGTTTACACACTCTACGTTGTTTTAATTCCCCTTTTTCTTCTCCGTATTTCAATGGTTCAACGCCTTGTTTGTGTGGGTCCGAAAAGTGCAGGGTTCAAGGTCCGAAAAAACTGTAGATACTTTTTTCGGTCGGGCAGGACACTAAAGCACGATCTACTACCTGACAATTGTCTGTTTATGAAATGGGTAAAATGGATATAGAAGTGTATCGGCCCCATGTAACGTTATGTATTTCATTTAAAACCGAAGTACCGAATTGAATAACGGATTATATAAAAGAATAAGACCAAAGAAAAGACCCGTCGTTCATCATAAAAGATACACATATAGTATGGAGACATTTTTTACATAATTTAAAGAGGAATCATTGTTTTATACGTATTTTTTGTGTCTTGAACCGTTGTCGCAGCGTACACATCGGAAACCCACAGAGATGAATAATTTCCCCCGTTTTTCTCACATTTCTCGCTGTGTCTTCGCTCCTATTAGTCACAGCGCGTTTTATAGCCCTTCCTGATAAATACTCTAACTCTAACCAACAAAAAAATCATTTTTGAATTCGAACCAGTAGATCCTGAGATTAGCGCGTTCAAACAAACAAACTCTTCAGCTTTGTATATTAGTATAGATAGATAGATGTTTGTAATCTGAATTAGGGTACTTACACCACTTATTTAAAACACTGACACGGGCGAGATTCGAAGCCAACATTGTCCATTTCATGTAAAATTTTAAAATGCATTTAATTTTCGTGATAAAATCAATTCTAAATAAGTTGAGTCCCTTAATCTTAAGCTGAAAAAATGTGTACACCCGTAGTTAGTGTAATTATCGCTATTATTTTTGGGTCAACGCAAGTACAATTACGCCATACGATTTCGTGATACCCATTATGTGACCCAAGTCGTTTATCTAAATAGTCGTAAGGGCAAGGTCGTCGCATGCCAGTCGCCATTTATCTCAGACCGCGTCCTTTGCGGCTCTTCGTGACCGATTCAAGAGCTGTCTGATTCTGACGACTTTCATGAATTTTCAGCGGCGTTTTCCCTTTGTTTCTTCTAAAAATCATTTTACGTACGTGAAGCATGGGCCAGGAAAAATTTTGTAGTTTCGTTCACTCTGGTAAGCTTCCGTCCTGCTCTTGTAGTCACATCGTATTGGTGCAACCACAGCCGACCTCCCACTCGGGGCACCCTTGGTCTAGTCAACAGAACGGGGATTGCGCTAACGCAAAACGTCTGGGTGGCATTGAATGCCCCAAGGCAAAATACGTAATCATAAATAAAATATTCAATCATCATCCCTACAGGTTAGGGGGCCCCCTCCCCCTAACGTCAGGGTTTCAAATAGATTGAGGTAAAATAAAGAGATATTTTATGATGTTGTACTATCTATGATTGAGGCTTATATAAGTTCAGGATATGCGGAGGATGAGGGCCCGACTCTTTCTTTATCGATCGGGGCCCTTTTCCATCCAGCTTCGCTATTGTATAAAAAAGTTGTTATTTTTTTTATCCAAAAAAGGTGTAAATTTTAACTTTTTTTTTTCACGACAGAAGAAGACAAATGACATTGGCGTTAATTTGATTGAATATTACTCGATATAATCATTCTATTTACATTTTTACAAGGTTTTGTATATTCTAAGAAAATACAGAAGTTCGATAATAATTCTACTGCCCATATTATAATCCAGATTCCCACGAAGTCCAAAAGGTTTCACAAATAATATAAAATGATTATATGTTGGACCTATCGGGGTCGAACCCACGACCCGTTATTAGTAAATGTTTATAGAATTCTGAAGTCTAACCTAAAGCTTTATAAATTTAAATACGTCCTTGTAATATCTTAATTGTATTAGACTGATATACATGCGTATGTGTAAAGTTTTTAACTTGACACATGTCAATAACATTGACAAGTTGTTAGGATATGATCAAATATTTTTACGCAATATCGCGTCAAACGTTACATGTAGAGCGAGGGTCCGTAAAATCCTTTGACGTCAATCCGATAAGGTCAACCGGCGAGTGACGACGAAGCCTACGTCTTCAAGGAAGATTTATTAATACGAAATAGAAATTAAATTAATAAGTTATTTA